AGGTCAGGGATTGAATGGGTCCTCTCTCTAGTCCAGGGCCAAGCATGTGCCTGGTACATCATAACAAAAAATATATTTTGTTAAAGAAATGGGTATATATTTATTTATTAAATTGGGCAAAAAATACGTTAGTTGTGACAAATTCACGAATTAAGTGAATTTTTGCAAAGCAACAACGTGTAAGAAATGGTAAGAAAGGATGCAGTGCATACCCCAAGGAAATTACAATATAAAATGGAGCAAAACATTTATGCAAATAAATACAAGGCAAAGGGTGATAAATGCCATGAAAAAGCTAGACAGAGATATGCACAAAGGAGAAAAAAGAAAGCTTTCACAGAAATGATGACATTTCAGTTAGAATTTCAAAAAACAATATTTTATTGTTTGTTTTTGTTTGTTTGTTTTTGTTTTTTTGAGACAGAGTCTCACTCTGTTGCCTGGGCTAGAGTGCCATGGCATCAGCCTTGCTCACAGAAACCTCAAACTCCTGGGCTCAAGCAATCCTCCTGTCTCAGCCTCCCCAGTAGCTGGGACTACAGGCATGCGCCACCATGCCCGGTTAATTTTTTCTAAATATTTTTAGTTGGCCAATTAATTTCTTTCTATTTTTAGTAAAGACAGGGTCTTGCTCTTGCTCTGGCTGCTTTTGAACTCCTGACCTTGAGACATCCCGCCTTGACCTCTCAGAGTGCTAGGATAGCAGGCGTGAGCCACCGCACCCGGCCCCAAAAACAATATTTTAAATACATGTATTGATTGTTCGCTATGTGCCTGACACTATTCAAGGTGCTGGGGACATAACAGTGAGCCAGAACACTAATAGTTGGGCGGCACAGGCTGGGTGCAGTGGCTCACACCTGTGCTGAGGCTAGAGGATTGATTGAGGCTAGGAGTTCTACACCAGCCTGGGCAACAGCAAGATCTTGTCTCTATAAAGAAAATTTAAAAAATTAGCTGGGCATGGTGGAGCACTCCTGTAGTTCCAGCTACTCAGGAGGCTGAGGCAGAAGGATTGCTTGAGCCCAAGAGTTCCAGGCTGTAGTACACTATGATCATGCTTGTGAATAGCCATTGCACTCTGCCTCTAAAATAATTTTTAAATAATAAATAAAATAAAAATCTCTGCCCTCATGGAGCTTTCATTATTGCTACAGGATAGGGACAATAAACAAAATAAATGATTAAAATATATAGTGCCATATATCAAGCAATGAGGAGAAAGAAAGCAGTTAAAATCATAATTGGGGAAGAGGTATAATTTTAAATAAGGTGGTCGTGGAAAGTCTTCATGACAATATTTAAGTAAAGATCGGAAAGAGTTAAGGGAGCAAGTTATATGTTCTCTGGAGGTGGCATTGCCTAGAGAAGACACAGAATTCCAGTGTAGGTGAAGCTTGGATCAGCTGGGAATGAGGGTGGGTGTAGAACCTTATGGGCCGTTGTAAGACTCTAAGTGAAATGTGAAACCACCAGAGGATTTTGCAAGAGGAAAAGCATGGTTTAGACAGAAACACCGTGTAATGCAACTTGGCCTCCTACTCTTCTCTCTCCATCCTATCACAAACTGCTCACTAAGGTAAAGCAATAATCTCTAAATCTATTGGATGCTTGATTTTTTAAAATCTTATTTAATTCTTCTATTGACCTAACACTGACGATTGCTTCTTTTTTTATTTATTTTTTTATTTTTTGCTATTGGCTCCTTGATGGTGGGTGATGACTGCTTCTTACTGAAAACTCATCTCCCCTGGTGTTTCTCTGGTTTTCCTCCAATCTCTGGAAACTATTCTTCGATCTTCACATTATCTTCTTTGTCTATTTGACCCTTAAATATGGAGTTCCCCAGGGACTACATAACCTTCATTTCTTACCTATTCACCCTAGGTGAGCTCACCTGTATCCACAACTCCAACTACCATTTATATGCCAATGGCTTACAAAGCTATCTCCAGCTCACATCCCTCGCAGACCAGTATTTCCAACCATCTACGAGATAATGTCCTAGATATTCCAGGGGTACCTCAACTCACATGTCCCAACTGAAATAGTCAAGTCACTAAACACTCTACTCATATATAATATACTAAGACTTCTCTTGCTAAAGATAACTCTTATATCACAACTTCTGATTTGTAGCAATATAATTTCACACAGTACTTTATTAATTATACAAATTATTATTTACTTATTTATTATGTCAACACCCAGGCTGACACCCAGGCTGGAGTGCAATGGTGCGATCATAGCTCACTGTAGCTTGGAACTCCTGGACTCAAGGATCCTTCCGCCTCAGCCTCCCAAGTAGCTAGAACTACAGGCACAAGCCACTGCAGCACCTGACCTACAAATTATTGTAAAAGCCTACCTGTGTGTTTCAGCTTCTTTTTCTTTCCCCATTTGTATAAGACGCTTTTTTGCTTTGATAAATTTTCTAATCTTTTCATTTTCCTCTTCTTGCTGCTGCTGTTCTACAGCTTTGATGATATTTCTATCATGCATATGTTCCTTGGGAAAAAAACTGTATTATTATCCTATCACAAAGAAAAATATCTTTCAACATGTCAATATCTAACAAGAACCTATCAAATGGTCACAGCTTCTGACCCAGTTATTTCTCTCCTGGAAATTTGTCCCAAAGAGATGATCAGAGACATGCATAAAGGTTTATGTACCATGTACTTCATCTCAAAGTTATTCAGCAAAAAATTGGAAACAGCCTCTAAATATTTAATAATAGAGAAATGGTTAACTAAATCATACTCTCATTGACATAGAATGATACAAATAGTATAATCAATAAGTGGAAGGAGAAAGAGCAGAATATAAAACATTATATAATATATGTAATATTCACAAATACATATAAGTACAGCTTTATAATGTATATATGACTAGAGGAAATATGTCAATGTTAACAGTAGTTATCTCTGGGGTATGAGATAATGAGTGAATTTTACACCTTCTTAAATGCTTTTCAGTATTTCTTTTCAAATATCTCATTTCTTTAAAAATATATAATTTAAAATAATTATATAATCAGAAAAATATATTAAATATAATTTTCATGTAATGTTTAAATAATAATCTAGTCACATGGCTCAAAAACTTTTAATATTTTTAACATACCAGTGTAAGGTATCCTTCCACTCCATTCACTGTCTCTTTCTAATTCCCCCTCTAGACTCAATCACAGTTACTAGTTTCATGTCCAGACTTTCTTTTTGTGTATATATAAGAAACTACAAATGTGTATTCTAACAAAATTTTTAAGCGAAAAATAAAAATCTGTTCATATTAGTAAATGTTCCATCATCCCAGCCTGAGTTAGCCATCAGTGTCTTTGAACATAATACTCTGAGTATATAGATACTAATATATTGGTGATTCTGTTATTGGAAGTAGAAACCAATTCAAGGTGAAAGTTGTCAGGTACAGCATTTAATCTACCAAAATATTTATAACGCAGGGTCTAGTATGTACCTAGAATTCTTAACTAATGTTCTATTTTATGTGTTAGCCTATAATCTGGTCAAGAAATATACTGGTCAACATGGCCAATATGATAAACTAATGAAAACACCAAACTGTTAAAAGTGATTATTTTGAATGATTCCTTAAAAGTTTTATTTTGCTGTTTTTTCCAAGTTTATTCTAATATCCATTTTATAATAGGAAACAATATAGAGTTATCACAACATTAATTCTTATTTTTCAAGATTGAAAGCTTCAGCTCAAGGTCACATAACTAGTTAATGGCAGAGTTAGCATCTAAAACTAGGTCTGTTCCACTCCAAAGTGACTTGGAGAGATAACAATTATTGTATCCATGAACCAAGAACAAGAATTTATGAAAAAGAAGCAATAAAATTATAAGTAAAAATTAAAATTTTGATAGCTAAAATAAAAATTCAATAGAAGCCTTAGAATACAAAGTTGAGGACTACTTTCAAAGTAGAACAATAACAACAACAAAAGGCAGAAACAATTAGTTGCCTAACCAAGATTCTTTCCTCTCTGCTTCATTAGCAACAGAACCCAAATTTTATTCAGGGTGAAAATATGCTCAGGTAGGAGACTGTATTTCCAAGCTTTCTTTTCAGCTAGGTTTAACAAAATCATAACCAATGAGATTTTGTGGAAATTATTAAGTGGGACTTCTGGGAAAGTTCCTTAGAAGGAGAATAGATAGTTAGGGCACTCCCTTTTGATCTTCACCCTTTCTCCCTTCTTGCTGTTCAGAATGTGGACTTCAGAGCTAGAATTCCAGCAGCCATTCAGGGCATGAGGTAACCTTGAGGATAGATGCCATCTATGTTCTAAGAATAGCAGAGTGAAAAAAGAGGTGTCTCAATCCCTGTTGATTTTGGAGGTGCCATTACCAGATGTGTAATGAGCACCCCTGCAATTTTAAGTCCGTATTTGTTTAAGCTACTATTATTTGGGGTTTTTTACTGTAGCTTTTGAGCCTTTTCCTAACTAATGTGAAAAGATATTTTAAAATTAAAGCATCAATTCGAAAGTCCAATATCTATCAGAGGGGTTACAGAACAATAGAAGAGACAAAACTGAAAGGGACAAAATTATCCAAAAGATAAAACAAGAAAAATTCTCAGGATGAAAGGAATATGAGTTTCCACAATAAAACCATCAATGGAATGTCCAGCAAAATGAATGAAGGCACATCATCCAAGGCAGATCACTGTGAAGTTTCAGAACACCAGAGATAAAGAAAAGCATTCAGAGAGAGAGAAAGAGAAGAAAAAGAAAAAAACAAAAAACAATTATATATATATCTGGTGCAGACCATAAATGATAGCATACATCTCAACGGCAATACTGGATGCTAGAGGAATATGAAACAATAAAAACAAAATTCCAAATTCTGACCCCAGAATTCTATAAGCAGTCAAACCAATCAAATATGACTTTAAAAGATTACCTTTTCAGATAATTCAAAAAATTTACCTCCCATACCCTTTTTCTTAGGAAGCTACTCAAAGATGTATTTCAGCAAGATGAGGGAATAAACCAAGAAAGAAGAAGACATAAGATTCAGGAAATAGGAGGTATGGCCCCAAAAAGCGGTAGAGGAAAGTCCCAGAATGACAGCTGTGCAGAAGGGCTAGTGAGCAAACACTCAAAGAAATTATTTTAATCCTAGAAAAATAAACATTTATGCAAGTGGGCCGGGCATGGTGGCTCATGCCTGTAATCCTACCACTCTGGGAGGCCGAGGCAGGCGGATTGCTCGAGGTCAGAAGTTCAAAACCAGCCTGAACAAGAGCGAGACCCTGTCTCTACTATAAATAGAAAGAAATTAATTGGCCAACTAATATATATAGAAAAATTAGCCAGGCATGGTGGCGTGTGCCTGTAGTCCCAGCTACTCAGGAGGCCGAGGCAGTAGGATTGCTTGAGCCCAGGAGTTTGAAGTTGCTGTGAGCTAGGCTAACGCCGTGGCACTCACTCTAGCCTGGGCAACAAAGCGAGACTCTGTCTCAAAAAAAAAAAGAAACATTTATGGAAGCAAAGAAATATAACCACAGTATATTACTTGGTTCTGCAGAGGAAAATATTTATATAGTCATAATAATGATTTAAGTAAAATTGTGACAATTATTTGTGGGGGAGGAGAGGAGAAGAGGGGAATAATGAAAAAGAGCTAAATCCTCAACTACCAAGACAAAAAGGCAGGAAATATCTCAAATTGATAAATCAAGATATATATCTTTTACAACCTAATATGTATTTTTAACATCTAAATATAGAACATTATAATTTTCTAACAGAAGAAACAGCTAAAATTAGAACTTGGAAGTGGGCGGGGTGCAATGGTTCACACCTGTAATCCCAGCACTCTGGGAGATCAAGGCAAATGATCAAGGTCAAGGAGGTCAAGGTCAAGGATCACTTGAGCTCAGGAGTTTGAGATCAGCCTGAGCAAGAGTGAGATCCCATCTCTACTAAAACCAGAAAAAATTAGCCAGGCATGGTGGCATGTGTCTGTAATCCCAACTACTCAGGAGGCTGAGGCAGGAGGATCGCTTGAGCCCAGTAGTGTGAAGTTGCTGTGAGCTAGGCTGATGCTATGGCACTCTAGCCCGGGCAACAAAGTGAGAACTCTGTCTCAAAAAAAAAAAAATCTCTTCCATCTTGAAGTTATTCCTAAAAAAAAAAAATCTCTATAATGCATTCCTAGCAAACCAGAGGCTAATTTTACAAATTTGAAAACTTATACTCCACTATTTTTTAAAAATATATTAGAGTTAGGCATTTTCAGTCACAGAAAGACAAATATTGCATGTTCTCACTCATATGTGGGAACTAAAAAGAAAGATAGCAGAGTCGCACAGCGGAAGTTTGCTGGGCCCATAATAAAGATGATGTCATGGAGTTAGAGAGTAGAATGATAGTTACTGGGAAGGGTGTTGGGGGGTGGGCAATGTACGAGCATACAGTTAGATAGAAGGAATAAGTTCTAGTGCTTAATAGCACAGTAGGGTGACTACAGTTAAAAACAATATATTGTATATTTCCAAATAACTAGAAGAGAAGATTTCAAATGTTTCTAACATTAAGAAATGATAAACGTTCATGGTCATAGACAACCATGAGTTGATCATTACATATTATTGCATTTATCAAAGTACCACACATATACCCCCAAATATGTACAAATATTATGCATCAATAAAAAAGTTAGGCATTTGACTTTGTACGTTTTTGTACTTTTGCACTTTTAACTTACAAAAAATAATCTCCTTCTTTCATGTATCTCTTCCTTTTTCTTTTCTAGTTTTTTTCTCATTTCTATTTCATATAGTGAATTCTGTCGCTTTATTTCCTCAGCATCTTTTTCTTCTCGTTTTCTCCTTCTTTCTTCTTCTTCTTCATGTTCCTTTATTCTAAAGCCAAAGCGTAAGTATAATTGAGAGCAAAGCAGAAAAATAGGTTATGTTTTTAAGAAATGAATTAATAAAAGATTCTAACCTGGGATGATCTGAAGCTGCAAAGAACTTGTAAATTTCTTTAAGGAAAAGAACAAACATTAAACAGCAATGACTAATACTAATCCAATCTTGGCTAACCCAGAATTGCCAATACTTTCCTTTCCTCAAAATTTATTTCACTGGGCATGGTGGTATGTGCCTGTAGTCCCAGCTACTCAGGAGGCTGAGGCAGGAGGATAGCTTGAGCCCAGGAGTTTGAAGTGGCAGTGAGCTATGATGATGTCACTGCGCTCTAGGTGTCACTGCACTCTAGCCCAGGAAACAGAGCCAGACCCTGTCTCAAAAAAAAAAAAAAAAAAAAAAGCTGGGGGCAGTGGTTCATGCCTGTAATCTGAGCACTTTGAGAGGCCAAGGCAGGAGGATCCCTTGAGGCCAAGAGTTTGAGACCAGCCTGAGCAATATAGTGAGACCATGTCTCTATGAAAAAATGAAAAAATTAGCTAGATGTTGTAGCATGAGCCTGTTGTTCCAGTTACTTTGGAGGCTAAGGCAGGAGAATCACTTGAGCCCAGGAGTTTGTAGTTGCAGTGAGCTATGATGATGTCACTGCGCTTTAGCTCAGGCAATAGAGTGGGACCCCAACTCAAAAATAATAATAACAAGGAAGTTTGAAATATCAGTAGAATTACCAAAATGTGACACAGAAACACAAAGTGAGCACATGCTGTTGGACAAATGCTGCTGATAGACTTGCTTGATGCAGGGTCACCACAAACCTTCAATTTGTTAAAAAAACAAAACAAAACAGTATCTGCAAAGTATAATAAAGTGAAGCACAATGTAATTACAAATTATAGTGTTATAAAGATAATAAAAGATTAAGCAAAATAATAATGATTGCATTATTTAGATAACTTTGGACAGAGCTGTACTCTAAGATAGGGAAGCACTCTCTACTGAAGAATGGGATAGTAAAATTCCAGACAAAGAAAAAGCATGTTAAGAAGGCACTGAGATATACGAGGGTTTTGCAGGTGCTCGAGGCCCTGGAAGACCAGTGTGACAGAGGAATCACAACTAAGGGAAAGGAGTGGTAGAGAGGAGGTTGAAAAATAGACAAGGCAAGATCACACAGGGCCTTGATGGAGATGATCAAATTTCCATTTTATTTTAAATGAATAGAAAGCCATTGAAATGTTTAAGGTAGGAGAATATGACCAATTGTCATTTTAATACGAAATTTTTCTTGATGATAACTAAAGAAGGGATTGGGAAATAAGACAGTATGTGAGGCCAGTTAAGAGGCTGATGCTACAAACCATGAAATATATGTGTGTGGTCTGTACTAAGAAGAACAGCAGTAAATTCAAGATTTGTTTTGGAGAAAAAAATCAACATGAGCTGCTATTAGATTTGATGTGGAAGATAAAGGAAATGAGGAATCAAGGTGAATTCTTAGGTTTCTAGTTTGAACAACTGGGTGGTTAAGGATACCACTGGAAAGTCCACTGTCAGGATAGGGAATCAATAATTCTATGTTAAGGCCGGTGCAGTGGCTCACGCCTGTAATCCTAGCACTCTGGGAGGCCGAGGCGGGCAGACTGCTCAAGGTCAGGAGTTCGAAACTACCCTGAGCAAGAGCGAGACCCCATCTCTACTATAAATAGAAACAAATTAATTGGCCAAGTAATATATATAGAAAAAATTAGCCAGGCATGGTGGCGCATGCCTGTAGTCCCAGCTACTCGGGAGGCTGAGGCAGGAGGATTGCTTGAGCCCAGGAGTTTGAGGTTGCTGTGAGCTAGGCTGACGCCAGGGCACTCACTCTAGCCTGGACAACAAAGCGAGACTTTGTCTCAAAAAAAAAAAAAAAAAAATTCTGTGTTAGACATTTAAGTTTGAGATACCTTCGAGACATTGATATGAAGATATCAGGGAGGCAGCTGATAGGTGAGGCTGGGGATCAAGAGAATTGGTTTAGACAGATTTCAATGCCAGATTTAAGATGGCATATAAATCTAAAAAATGGATGAGGTCCCTTAAATCCTCTTCTCTTTCTACCCTTTCCCTAGATGATCTTTATCCAGGGAAAAGTGATACAAACTATCCTACCTATGATGATTTTTTTCTTCTTTTGGCAAGCTGGTGGGATTAACAGATAGTAGTCTTCTAAAGCAAGATAGTTAAGCCCTTTATACAGAAAGGCTAACCTATCTATATAACAAAGGAGAGCTAGGAAGTATCTATAGACGTTTTGTTAAGTTTCTTTTCAATAATTATGTATAAAGTTCTTGGTCAAAATCCCTCTATTTGGGGATTTTGGTGTCACTACTGTCCCTTATTTGCCTCATCCCTATCCTTATCATTCTCACTGTGTTATGAGTCATAGGTAGACTCTTATGGCAGTCAAAGTACCACAGTGGAATAAACAGCCCAGGTCTGGAGCCTAGAGATTGTTTGGAAAGTGTGTAAAAAAAATATTATTTTCAGGCACAGGACCAGCAGCTGTGCTATGTGTTTCAATTGTCTATTGCTGAGTAACTAAATACTCTAAAACTTAATGGCTTAAAACAATAAACATTTATTATCTCACAACATTGCTACAAGTCAGGAATCTGGGAGTGAGTTAGTTGAGTAGTTCTCAAGATGATGAGTTAAGATGTCAGTTGGGGCTGTAGTCATCTGAAGGCTTGAGTGAGGATGGTAGCTTGCTTCCATATATCTGTTGTCAGGAGACCTCAATTCCTTGTCACATGGACTTCTACATTGAGCTATTTAAAAATGTCCTTACACCGTGGCAGTTAGGTTCTCCAATAAGCAACCAAACAGAGATAGCACGGAGGAAGCCACAATGTCTTTAATATCCTAATCTTAGATGTCACCTACCATCATTTCTGCCACATTCTACTCCTTAGAAATGAATTACTATGTATAGCCCACACTCAAGGGCGTAGGAATTAGGTTCCATCCTCTGAAAGAAAGAATATCAAAGAATGTGTAAAAATATTTAAACCACCACAAGGCAATTCCTGGGTAGCACTTGGTAATACAATTAATAAGGCAAGCAAAGCTGGGCATAGTGGCTCACATTTGTAATCCCAACACTTTGGGAGGCT